TCCTTTAACTTCTTATATTGCTCAACTGTAACCAAAGAGGTTGCTTAAGAGTGGTCACCTACACCAGTTTGCATGACATGCATTCATCGGGATCACGAGTTTGAGCCTCTCATCTAGGCGCCTGCGCTGGTTTCAGAGGGGTCCGAGACTGGGTCGACGACGACGACCGGAAGGATGGGTTCTGACAGGATGCTGTAAGGAGCACATATCATGCTCAAGCCGTTTCACTTTCTCCAGACTTCGAACTGCCAATATAATTCCCAACTTTACACCATGACGCACTCAGCACTTTCTTGAAGCGAGGGCCCGTGGCTGCTCCCTGTGACTTGATGCCGTCCAGAACCTGACACGATGCAGTTCAGACCTGATGGGCCACCACGGCATTCCTCACCTTTCGACGATAATCAACATGGACGGTCATCAGAATTCCAAAGAATAATAGGCATACGCCAACGAAGGCAAGACCAGCATGGACGATCCTGAAAGGCGCGAGGTCACCCCATGCTTCTCAGTTGACCGGCCGTGATCGGCCCAAGCACAGCTTGGGCTCTCGCCAGAGATCAGTTCACTTTTGAAGCCGCCCAGTCTGAGATCCTTCATCAACTCCAGCGGCAGGGGTGGGCGTAACAGTGCTGTCCATAGTCGCCTGTTGTCGTGGCGCCACAGTGTGCTCAGCCATGTGAGACCTGAGCGTAGATGATGCAAGGATGACGGAGTTGCCATGATACGATAGCTCACTTGCTTTCTTGACCGGCTGAGTGGGAGAATATTGGTTGCAGGTCCGGATCCGTAAGGAAGGACTAAATAAGCAATAACACCAGCTTTCTCCACATCAGCCCATGCAGTGGTGCCCAATCGTTCACTTCTGATACAACTATATTCACTCCAAGGACTAATAGATCGGTCACGTACATACCGCATAGGATCCCACCTTGGTGTCCAAGAAATCGTTCTTGCTGTTGAAAAGATCAGCCTCGTCGTGATCAATCGAGAGGGGTTCAACCGACGGTTCCGATATCTGTTCGTCCACGACAGACATCAAGACGCATCCCCAGAAGTGGCAGGGTCAAAGTCGCCCATGTTACTGCACCTGCTGATTCGTATCGACGTGTGCGTCCCTGAGCCTCCTCATCCTTCTCCTCGCGGCATCCTGTTCCAGTATGGAACTGCTATGATGATGATGTGTCTTGTTAGCGTGTCCGTGATGAGCAACCTTGACGACGCGAACTTCGGAATCAGGGCTCATACGGCCACTTACACCCGCGGTGTGGACTTTAGTATCCGCGTCGGCTTGCTTGCCCTTAGAACCATGTTTCATGTGATGATGAGTTGAACGCTGGAGAAGGGTGCGTCCAGAATAGACCGCGATGAGCACGCAGACACACCTTATGGGCATGCTTTCCCTCATGAGTGTCAGAGTTGGGGAACTCCATGTCGGCTTTGGTGGTGATTATGATGACGAGCCAAAGGGATATTTGCACTAAGAAGACGGTTTCAATGCATGTCGTAACTTTACTGAGCTTACTGATTCTTCCGGGGAACTTGATAGCGACGGGAAGCATTTGGAAAGAGGTAATGGCTACGACTATCGATTCATCAAGAAGTCAGATATGCATGAAAACATAACTCTGTCCAGACTAGCCACGACGGGTATTTACATGCAGTACGATTCGCATCGGCGAACAGGGCTTCACTCATCGTTCTGCTCCTGAACATGCGTGCAATTCGTCTTATATGATCGGACCCCGGAGAGCCTTACAATGCCGAATTTGGTATTGTGTTCGCATCGCTTCTTCCTCTCTTCACCATTTTCTTCTTCATCAACTTCCTAAAAAGAATCGAGATCAACCCCAGACATAAGACTCGAGCCAGAATCTTACAGCCTTGAACTGAGCCTCGTTGTCTTCGCCCGGTCCTTGAGTCTTCTGCAACAGGGAATCCTACAATACACCAATTGCTCACAACGGCCCTGGTGATGGGAAGTTGCTAACCTCATCGTCGTCATATGGGCACTTTATCCTCTCAACGGTACTCTTAGTCCCAATCTGGGCCAGCGAGAGATCATCAATTTTGCCGGCAATTTTTCTGTGTTGGCCTCAACGGACCGTCTTCCTTCTGCAAGTGGTGGAAGAGTGAGCCTGTCTGTCAAGGTGGGGATCAGCCTTGTGGCCCGTCGGATTGCCCTACCGGCACCCCCGCCCCTACCGAAGGGCCTCCTGACTCACATGCCGGCCCAAGCCCCAATTGCGATGCGTACTGTACCGCCATCAACCTGGGACTTCCTGGCGATCGTGTGTCGTACTGCAAGTGGTGGCTCTACGTACCGGTCTGCTATGCCGGCGACCAGCCTTGTGGCCCGAGTGTCTGCAACAACTACGGGGACAGTACAACTATGACTGCCACCAATACCGTCGCAACAACCCAGACAACTATCAGTGTCACTTCGACTGTGCAGACGGCCACCACTGTTGCTTCGACAACGCAGACGGCGACCACTGCAGTTCCGACAACTCAGGCGTCTACCACTGTAGTTCCGACAACTCAGTCGCCTACCACTGTTGCTCCGACAACTCAGGCGGCCACCACAATAGTTTCGACAACTCAGGCGGCCACTACTGTAGCTCCGACAACTCAGGCGGCCACTACTGTTGCTCCGACAACTCAGGCGCCTACCACAATAGTTTCGACAACTCAGGCGGCCACTACTGTAGCTCCGACAACTCAGGCGGCTACCACTGTAGCTCCGACAACTCAGGCGGCCACCACTCAGGCGGCCACTACTGTTGCTCCGACAACTCAGGCGCCTACCACAATAGTTTCGACAACTCAGGCGGCCACTACTGTAGCTCCGACAACTCAGGCGGCCACCACTGTAGTTCCGACGACTCAGGCGGCTACCACTGTAGCTCCGACAACTCAGGCGGCCACTACCGTAGCTCCGACAACTCAGGCGGCCACCACTCAGGCGGCCACTACTGTTGCTCCGACAACTCAGGCGGCCACTACTGTCGCTCCGACAACTCAGGCGGCTACCACTGTAGCTCCAACAACTCAGGCGGCTACCACTGTAGTTCCGACGACTCAGGCGGCTACCACTGTAGCTCCGACAACTCAGGCGGCCACTACTGTAGCTCCGACAACTCAGCGGCCACCACTCAGGCGGCCACTACTGTTGCTCCGACAACTCAGCGGCCACTACTGTCGCTCCGACAACTCAGCGGCTACCACTGTAGCTCCAACAACTCAGCGCCCACCACTCAGCGGCCACTACTGTTGCTCCGACAACTCAGCGGCCACTGCTGTTTCTCCGACA